TGTTGTCTTCCCCATTCAAGGAAAAATGAACCCACTTCTGGAATTTCAGGGGTCATCCCCTTCCCCAATTCCATTTTGTTTGGGGGATCATCAAGCCCTCCATGCTTGGGGGCGTGCAAGAGAGAAAGATTGTAAGTGAGAAAGGGGGAGAGAGATATCTTCCCTCAAACTCACATGGAAGCTCCCGCATGGCCACTGCAAATGGAACTAGGTCTTGCGAGGTTCTGCGGCCTTCCATGCTAGGGAGAAGGAGAAACACAAACATAACGCAAGCCATCACATTTGCTACGATCAACATTTGCTGTATCCTGCATGGACATTGGCAATTATAAAGTTCCTTGCTTTCTGTTCAACACTTAGAGAGTCTCAATGTACTCACAAATTGACCATAACCTTTGCTGCTGGAAACTTGAACAATTTCGACCAAACCTGATATTTTCCCCGTCCCCCTTCCCCCTTGAATCAAACTACAGCGCATTCAAGACTCAAAGTCCGTCCTTTAGGGCGCAGATTCTCGCAGAAGTGTACATTTAGCCGTGTACAGGGTGGGTGGGTTGTGAGACATGTACTAACCTCAAACAAGGGACCCACAAGAAAGGAGCCTTGGACGTTGCAAGTTAGGTGTTGAACGTCAAAGTCAAAATCACCTGCCAAACAGCAACATGCCCCAGTTGTTTGCTGCAGTGAGCCCTGACAAACTTTCAAAGCCCGTCATCAAATACTACCCGCTTTCCCTCAATACACCTAATAACTACGAGGCTATGCGGGGTGTCTCAAAATAGGAATCGGACCCCTGAAATTGGTGGTTGTCACCAAAAAACATACCCGAAAAAAACTGGGCTGTCCTCAGATCCCCTGCTAAAAGTTTAACTTTTAGCGGGTTAAATGGGAACTACCACTAGACCAACTAAAAGGAGCCATCCTAAGGAACCGGATGGCTGGGAACCTCCAAGAAAAGACACCAGCCCACTGATACTTAAAAAGACACACCCACTCCTAGTTACCACTATAGTAGCCAGCAATTGTCCTTTTGGCTTTTAAAGCCTGGTTGATTCCGTTGGCTACCTGCTCAGGACACTGAAATCACCGGGACCACACCACAACTGTCCGGCTAATGTTGACCCAGGATGAATACACCTGTCCCATTCTTAGGGAACTGTTCCCTCCAAAAGTGGTCTGAATCCAACCACTAAAAGGAATTGGACACCTGACACCCCAGAAAAATCCAAAGGTGCTGCTTCATCCGGGGTTCACGTTCTAGCGGCGCTTTTCTTCCGAGGCGCCAGCTTCGGACCCTCGGACTTCCCGGAGCCGGACGGAGACTCCGAGGGCTTCTCCGCCTTCGGCGCGGATCCATTCGCCACGCCCCCGGGCAAAAAACAACGAGACTCGATACTTCTCCAGTGACAGATGCCCTGGAGAACCAACAAGGAAATTACAAAACATATTCCTTACAGCAAAAGAAAGGGAAGCAAAAAAAAAAACGGTTGGCACGCGACAACCGAAAAGCACGTGGCCAGAAGAAGCCACCAAGGCCGTGAGCAAAATCCCCAATGCTCCCAACGATTGAAGAGTCTTGGTTTGTCTGGGTCCATTCGAATGACATCCTCAACCACGTGGTCGGCTAAAGGGAAACCATTTTCAAGCAAAGTGTTGATTAGCTATCAAAAGACTCGCATTTCATGGACCCAGCAACCCTTGTCCCGATATGTATCCACATTGATTGTAGGGTATTTGGGCACTCACCGCAAAACTGAGTGACCCTTCCCAACAATGAGGTTCGCATGCCAGACACATAGCTGTCCTTGGGCCCCAAAAAGCCATGCAAGTCGATTCACGGAAGGAACCATCAAAGAGAGTCCCTGTTTCTGACTGTTTCCATGATCAGGGGTTCTGACCCAGGATGTTTGTGTTTTTGGGATTTTTTGGGCATCCGTGGTTGAGGGTACCTTTTTTGGGGGGTCTTAAAGAAACACCCAACGGAAAACCGCCAATTTGGGGGTCCCCGAAACAGACAAGCCCATATGGTACCATTTGATAGCCATTGTAAATTGCTGCTGCCCAGAATTGACATTCCTAACGAATTCCCTCTGAAACTGGAGTATCTCACTCGCCCCCCGTTCGGACTTGGAAATCAAAGGCTCACTAAATATGGTCAGGAAACCAAACAGTTTCCGGTCGATTGTCGATTCGCCTGGTGAGTACTTGAATCCACTTCACAAGCCTCAAAAAGACTGATTTGGATGATACTGTCGACCTCGGATGAATAGACCCCTGTTTATTATTTATTAATACGTGGGTGTTCCCCTCCAATGACTCCCAGCAAAAACCCAGGGACAGCCCCCTATGAACAAACTGGCTGGTTGCTCTTGATATGGGGTCAACCCTTTTCATAAACTGGTTCATACGCCGGGTCAACATGGAATCAAAGAAACTCAACCTTGTGCTTCAGGCCTCCTTAGGCTCCGCCTTAGGCTCCGCTTTGGGCTCCGCTTTGGGCTCCGCTTTGGGCTCCGCCTTGGGCGCCGGAGTGCTCCGCTTCTCCTTAGGCGAGTGCCGGAACAAAAAAACCAGACCTCCTTTTTTGGTTGGTCTAAAGGACATCATTTGGACATATGGATTTCAGCTGTCCCCTAGTTTTCAAACGCTCAAATTTCACCTACCTGGGCACATGAACCTCCCATTGAAAACTCGAAATAGAGGACGTGGGGCCGCTCTCTTGCCATTGGAAGCTTCTAAACGTGGGACTCAGAAATGGAGGTCCCCAAAACACCATGGGGCCAAAATAGCAACCAACAGTTGACTGATTAACCTGGGCAAATGATGACAATCTCCAACTGGAAATGAGGAATCCCGTGAAACACATATTGCTCATGTCGTTCGTTGTACCAGTCGAATTGCTGAGCTCGTGAACCTCTTTCATGAGGAAAGATCCCCACAGCCCCGCTGCCAAGGGGCGTAAAACTTCCCGAAGCCTTTGGGCGGCTTGTCACTGAACAGTCGCGCGCCCAGTCTTGGCTTCACTCTGACCCTTTGGACTGCTTGGCAGAGTCGAGGCCGGAGCATGGCGTCAGGCGCGTTGTCGCGAGCCGTGAACCGTTTGCAAATCCCTTTTGGAAAGGTACAAGTTTGGCACAAGGAATCAACTTCCACTTGGGTGGACACATTTTGCCGCTGACAAGACTGGCACGCCCTCTAAAGCCAGGCGTGGAAACTGAAACCGGGCTCCAAAAGCCCCGAGAAAGCTTTTGGGAGTGGGAAAAAAACACTCTGCAACAGAAAAATAGAGAAGCTAAGGTTCAAAGTTCCAAATGACTTCCAAGTCTGTGTCAGACTCAAAAGACAAACAAGCAACCTCCTTGTCAAGCATGTGTGCAAAAGACTCGAGATGGTCTCGGTTGCCCAAGTCATTTGCGACCAATGGGCTCATAAGTCCGCTCGCTCTCTGAAATTGGCACTCTCGACTGAACCTCCATGTGCCTCTCAATTTAAGCTGGAGCCGACAACCGGGATCGAATGGTGGATATTTGTGCTTCTCTCTTTCAGCCAACACAACATGCCACGACCAACGTTCACTGCCGGCAGCAAAGCTGCTGCGACATACAAATCCGGCAGGAAGGGGGTATAGGAGCAACAAACATCAATTGGGCATCAATTATTTGGTGGGGATTCATGTCCAGCAGTCACCTTTGAGGCGGTTCCCAATTAAGATTCTACAGTTCCTTTCACAACGGTCTTGCACGCGGGGGTCTGGGGTTCTGCACATGTTCAGCCAAAGCATAAAGACTTGTTGTATGGACGGCTCAATCTATGTGCAGAAAGCTCTGTCCGTTGTGTGGGGAACATCATCATTTCCAAACAACATGTTGGTGCTCAGTAGGGAATGACCTTCCGGGTGCTGGGCTGCTGCTGCTGTGTGGTGGGATCTTTGGACTTTCACTTTTCTTGCTGGTTCTCACCCCATACTTAGTCAACACTGACTATGTGGGCAAATAGCTTCCTTCCTCCCGAGAAACCGGAGCATAGGGGTCTTCAAAAAAGCATCCGAGGGTCCCAAATTAATTAGCGGTCCGTGTTGTGTCCATAGATGGATGCAGTTTTACAAAGGATTATGCGTTGGATCGGGCAAAACCTCAAAGCTGTACGTGCATGATTTTGTTGCACGCGACTTCGCAAAATCGATACGCATAAATCTTGACGAACGGCCACCAAATGGTCTGCGACTGCGGCAATCCCCAAACCAGTTTCCTTTTGGTTTCCCTTCAAACCGCAGACGTGTGCTCTTGAAAAGGACATGCACATTTACCACAATCGCAAAACCTGAAAAAGGTGAAAGGCCCACATCATGGTGAGCTCGTTTTTCTTTTGAATCAATGGAATCGCGCGACATGACACCGGCAAACAACGCACCCTCATGCGATGTCAGGCCCGCGCAAGCTTGGGCATTTAATTGACAACCGGCCTCTGGGTGCTGAAGCAAGCCAAAAGGAGGTTGTGGAAAAAACCGGTCATGTTCACCATGGGTTGGCCCGTTGCGGAAAACTGTGACTTCAACATTGGCAATTCCCTTGACCGTGAAGAAGGAAATGGCAACCCAGAGCCCTATTTAATCCTCGCTGGTTAAGGATAACTATTCGGGTCCGAACTTCCACTATTTCTCGCTGTAATCACCCCCTGGCTCCCATTATCCCCCACAACAAGGAATGACATGCAATAGAAAACCACCTCACAAGTAGTTGGTTTACGGTGATCCCACCGAACCATGATGTCCACAAAAGGGACCACAAACAAACACACCCACTGGCCATGTGAATTTCCTTCTTGTTGGGGTCCACCAAATCCACAAGCCTTTTTGGTTGGCAACACAAAGTGGTGTTAACGTGACTTTTTGGTGATCGCGCCTTGTCTTTTGGGGGGGGGAAGCATTTTTGGGAAAACCCAAAGTGGGAACAACCAAAAAGACACGACAAGCGCATGGGCACAGGTCTGGGCTTCCGGTCATGGGCGGAGAGTCTGAGGAGTCCATGGCCTGAACCAAGTCCTTCAAGCCCTGCACCTGGAATTCTCACCACTCGAATTGGCTGTGGGTCAAAATTTGGAAACCCCAAAATTCGGCTGTGGTTTTGGTCCAGGTACATGCAAACATGGACTAACACCTCTGGTCCATATCCTGGTGGTTTGACTTTGACTCATACCCAATTTTGAGTACGGCCCCGGGATTCCAATTGAAAACCAAAACCGGAAACTAACACATATTCATTTCAGCAAATGGGAGGAAAGGGATCCGAGCCCAGAATTCATGTGTCGCATACCTGGACCTGTTTAAACATGGCCCTGCAGAAACGAACCTTTTTGCCTAGAGTGGAAAATGCCGGAAAATCCGAAAGCGCAGGGGAGCTTTGTTGAGGCCGAACCGAAGCTACCAGGTCGCACTAGCCACTGGTTTGGGGATGGACTTGGCCCGAAATCTGGATGGAAATGAATTGTCTCACTGCCTGAGTGGATGGGCCAAAAGAAGGTCTAAACTTGTTGTTTTAAAAGTCCACACTTATTGGTTGCCACTAAAATGGTATTCCCAACAAGCTTAAAGTGCAGGAACTCAGACAGTGAGACGCTCAAAACAAGTGTCATATCCAGTCGGCTAAAAGTTCCGGAGGAGAACCCAGACTATAGTAGGTAACCAGGGTTTTGTGCCAGGTTTCATGGTTTCCCCTAGTTACCTGAAGGGGGCTAAGTCAGTCGGTTGGAGAATGCTCTTTTTCCAGGAAGGAATGGGGTAGAGGATATGTCTGGGTACTTGACCCAGGATCAAATTCAACCCGTAGATTCCTTTTCGAGGGGAGTCTCGTTAAGACAGAATCCGGAGCGCGTCTTGGGCGGAAAGCAAAGCTGGAAAAGAAAGCAAAGAGGACAAAAAGAGTTATCAGGTACAAAGAACACACATTATCGCTACAAAGTGGTACGTAATTATCTAGGGATACGTGTATGTATATATATATATATACATATATCAACCTGGCAAATTTGTGGGGGATGC